AGCTTTCCTCAGAAACTTCTGTAGTCTGTTTCTGAGATTAGAAAATGAAGTCTGCTCAGCACTGGTACTCTGGCAACTTTGGAAGTGAGAATGGCACTAAGGAATGGGTCTGCTTTAGAGTTAGTATGTGGAGGCTTTGGACGCCTCTTGAGGGGCTCTGGGGGATGAGTGGGGGGCAAGGGCCCTCCCTGTTCACAGAAGGGGCCCAGGGGAATCCCACCCGCAGTTTCTTTGGCGTGGCTGGAAGATGCTCTGGAGAAGCTCCATTTTATGCTGTTGGCATTTGCTGTAAGCAAGGAGAACTTTTGCAGTTCCCTGGTGCTGAGTTCGGGGCATGGCCAGTGGAACAAATTTTAAGTGTATGTCTGGCCTTCCCTGAGAAGATGAGAAAAGTGTGTTTATGTATGTTGGGTCATGCCACTTGTCAGCTGCTCCAGCTTGTCCTGGCACTTCTTCCGTTCCGCTGTGCCATGCTTCAGGGATGGGAGTTTCCAGCCTGGCTCAGGTATGTTGGCTGAAGCTTTCAAGACAGATGCCATGTTTGAACTTTCAAATGTGAACAAGTCTTCCAGTGAAAACAGACTTATGCTGTGCCTGGCAGAGGATTAACAGGGTTTTTTGTGCATGTAGGTGATGAAAGAGCTGTGTACAGGGCAAAAAGTGAATTGGTCTGAATTCTCTTCTCTTGAGAAACTGGTGCATCTCCAGCAGCAGCTCACCAGCCTGTGGGTGAAGTCTAAATGGAGGGGGGAGAAGGTGTGCAACTGCAGCAGAGATAGGTTTGCATTTGTGAGAGTCATGCAAACCAGAGTCCACATCTGCCCTGTCCCTGCTGTGCTCTGTTCCCCCAAATCAAGCTTCTCCTGGTTTTCTTCTTTACTTTCCTTCTCTAGAGCCTCTTTTTCCCATAAACTCCTCTCAGTTTGTAGAGTTCAAATAGCTGGCTTTGATCCACTCCTGATACACTGTATTTCCTCGTTTTATCTGGTGTGTGCTGCTTTTGTTGCCAGTGCTTAATTATACCACCTTGCGTGCCCTTATTCCTGCTTGCCAGCATTTGTGAAGTGGGATGTGCTGAAATGTCTGAATTTGGCATAGGGCTTTTCTTAGGTTTCTCTGGAAATCTCAAGGGGAAATGCATTCCTCAGTCCTAAATACTGCTTTACCCTTTCCGTGCAAGTATGAGAAGGTAAGTTTGAGCAGCACCTAACGCAGTAGATCTGTCCTCTTCTGGGGTCTGTGGTGCAGAGAGTTGCAGGGGGGGCATAATGCATTGTTACAGGCTGGCTGGTGAGATTCTCCTGTGGCATTGAGCTGCCCTTTAGCTCTATCAGCAGGTGGAGTCCTGGGGACTCACTGGCCTCTCTAGAGAGGTATGTCTGAAAACACACACTGAGTGTTTGCCAGGAGATAACTGCATTCCAGGGAGTGACTCCTTTGTCTTGCTAAAATCGAGGAAATCTGATCAAAGTGCAGCCTTGCTTTAGACTTTTTTTTTCTTTCTTTTTGACTTTGTCCCTGACCTACATATTGGATCCTGCCATGCTGGTTGGAAGTAATTGAGACGGTAGTGTTAGGCTATTTACCAAGCTGTTCACTTGAAAATAACCTTTCTGTGTCCAGTCCACACCTGTTCTGGGATAATTTTGGAGGCAAATAACAAAGTGCCATTAACTCTTTCAGCCACATGCAACCTATTCAAGATCTAACTGTAGAGTGAGGTTATACCTCTTGCTAATGCCAGGAGGAATTTGTGACACAGGGTGTGCTTTGCTGTTCGTTTTCCAGCTCCATGGATGATTCCAGCCAGCTGCTGAAGCCAGGCCCGCTATGTGTCCACATCCAAATGAGGACACTTCAGAGACCTCCTTGTAAAAGTTCCTGCTGGGTGCTTGTTGGTTTGGTGTTGAGTCTGCTGGACTAGAGGCTATACTGGAAAATATGTGTGTGGAGGGATATTTTCTTTGTTATCCCAGTAGTTGTTTCTGATTAAAGGATCTCTTTTGAAGGGGCTGCTAGTCAGTTGCCTAGAAAACTTGCTTTCATTTAATTAATCATGATGAGTTTAGTCTGGAGGTTTTGTAGGAGAGAGCAAGCAAGCATATCCTTGGCTTCTTTCCCTTGGAAAAAAAAAGCAGGGTTTCATGTCTGAAACTGCAGCTCTTTTGTCTCCCCAGGTCAACATCCTTCTCTGTCCTTCGGGTTTTAATTTTACAAGCCATGCGCTTGCAGAGGTAGATCCAGTTTGAAGTCCATCCAGGTGTGGAATGAGGAAAGAACCGTCAAGAAGATTACAGGAGCTATTCTGCAACTCATTAACTCAATCTCTTCCCCTTCTTGTTATCTCCTCCCCATGCCCCGGGCCTTTCAAACTAGTGCTCTAAGTGCTTCTCACTTAATCTAGCCCACCTGGACAGGTGTATGAAGAAAGGAATTGCCTTCCGGGGAAGGACTAAAGGAGCATAGATTGCAAAGGGAGTCTGCTTTTGGGAACTGCTAATCCCAGTTTAACATTATGACAGCTGCTCGTTAAAATCAGGGTGTTTTTTAACAGGCAGTTAAAGGAGAGGCTTTGCACGCACATTTAACTGAGAATAATAGTGAACCATGTGCATTTGATTTTTTTTTTTTTCTTAAATCATGCAAATTGTACATGGAAAGAATTCTCCGGCGTCAACTTGCTGGGGTATGGAATTTACAAGGTTTGCAGTAACATACAGTTTCCTGTTGAGGGGGGGAGAAAATTACAAAGCTTTCTTTTTTTTTTTTTTTTTTTTTTTTTTTTTTTTTTCTTTAAGATCAAGTTCAAACCTCTCATATAAATCCAGCCTCTTTGGAAGGTATACTTACTGTGTTGGGGTTTTTCAGTTGTCTTGGTGGCAGATTGTCATGTAAACTTGTCTAGGTTCTCGCTTTTATAGCTACATGTAAAGGCTGCTTATAAACTACAATTTTGTAGATGGTGAGAAGGCAGCATGCAGATCTAATTTGGGAGAGTCTATATACAAAGAAAGAAGCAGAGGTTTCTTTGCCTTGGAGATGGCTGTTTCTTCCTAGCTGAACTTCAGTAAACTGAGTCTATTAACATGATTTTCTCTGCAGGACTGTGGTGTTGGATAAGAAACGTGAAGAGCTGAGGCAGAGAAGGGACTATCAAAGAGACATTTGCTGTATTTTATGTAATTTCACTGCAGACTTTACCAACTGCCTCCCAGATCAGTGGTTATTTGCTGGTTGAGTTCTTGTAGGCAGCGCTGTGGAAGTAAGAAACTGCGGCTCCTACACAAGCCCCCAAATCCACTCAAGAAGCGGTGTCCTTTTCTGCCAGCCCTTAGGCATGAAGGGCAGGTCTGTGATGCAGAAAGATATAAAATTGCCCCGGGTAGTTTTGTTGCTGGAAATCCTTATTCCTGCAGCTATTTAGGTTCAGGCAAATTAATTTAACCCACCAGGACTGAGCAACTAGCCTTGGAATGGGACTTTCTCTGTTACATTTTTGGCAGCTTTATTCCAAATCATTTGTGGATCGCAACGTCCTTTCTGTCTCCCAGGAAATGCCAGTCTTTTACGGCCTTTTTTTCAGCTGGCTGTATTGCTACCTGGGATTTTCATGTGTGTTTCCAGCAGCCGAGTCTCCAGCTGTTCTCTCTCTGTTCGACAGAAATCTGGCTGTTTCAGAGCTAGAAGGGGAGTTTGTCGAGACGTGAACAACTCTTTTGACCAAACACAACTTGGTTCAGCCTCAAAGGACTGATCCTGCCAGTTTGACTCTGCTTCCTTTAGAGTGATGTTGTACTGGCCCTTCTCACACAGTACGGAGGAGGCATCTTGGTGGCATGGGGCTAATAGTCACAAGTCTTTTAATCTTAAGGGTGTAACTCTTAAGCTATAGCATAACTTCCCTTTACCCCCCCAGCTTTAAACGACTGAACTCCTGTTATGCTACCCTGAGTAATACTATTTCTCTTCCCCCACGTTCTCTTACTCACCAGGTTGCTATCAATTATGGTTCTTGCTGATGGGGATTTGGGCTTTTTTTGTATGGTTCTTTTTACATTATATAAATGGCTTTAACTTCCGCTATTCTCTTCCCCTGCTCTGTAATTATAACCCTATTGCTCCTCTCTCATGTTGTCATATCAGGCCTCTCACTTGCAAACTCTGGGATGTGTTCTGGGAGGCTGACCCAGTGGTGTGACGTTGGCAAGAAGAGCTGAGAGGGCAGGAGAAGAATGCAGATTTCTCTAAGAGGGGACCAAAACACTGAGGCTGAGGATTCGGAAACTGGAACCCAAAATTCAAGTGGCAAATAGGGATACTTGTGTGTGTTTCTGTTAGGGCAAGTTCTTGTGGTGCCAAGACAGGTTTTCTGCAACTTAGATTAAAAAGAAGGCTGCAGTGTGCGTATGTGTGTGTGTGCACGCGCACACGCACACACTTAAATGCTGATCTGCAGATCTGAGTTTTCTAAACTTGCCTATGCTCTGATTGCGGAGTGTAGATTCTGCATGCAGAACAGCCCAGCCTGAAGTAATAATCCCAGGCTCAGCCCTGAGGGAATGCCTGGCATTGCTCTGGCCTGATTTTCTTAACATCTCTGTGACTTGCTGCTGGTTTGTAGGTGGTTTAAACAGTTATCTCTGAGCAATTTGCCCAGCTTGGGCAGAGCTCTGAGGATCTCTGGTCCTCTAAAAATACCTATATATTGTGATTTCTTTATTATTTTTTTTAAAATTTCTTCCTTCCTCCCCGTGTTAGGCCCAATTTAAGCTTGTCAGCTCAACAAACTCACTGAAAAAAGGGGTGCAAGCCCAGTGTGTACTCCCTGCTGACACAGAGAGAGGAGTGTGGGAGACTTGACTTCCAGCTCTGCCCCTCCTGCCTCCTCTGAACAACCTTTCCTTGCCCCCACCACTGCATGATGTATATCCATGCATTTGCCTTCTCTTGCACTGGAGAATTCATATTTTTCCTTGGCTAATAACCTGTGTCTGATTTAGTTTTCAGGAGGACCGCCCTGCATTAAATGTTGTCATTTTCCCTCTGCTTCATGAGGACTTGACAGAGGTCATCAGAGATGTCCCCATGCGGCACTTGGATGAAATTACCCTGTTTAAAAGCAGAGTGGCCGAGGAACCTCCCAACTTGTGGTGGTGACCGTCACAGCATGGAAAGGACAGTCAGCGTGAACATGTGAAATAGCTTCATGTTGGCCTGGATTCCCTATCTTCAGCTCCAGGCCACCTCACGGGATTCTGTACAATCACTCTAAATAGGTGCAATTGCAAAATAAAAAAAGCTGCTCCTTTGCAGTGGGGAAACATCTATTGGATATTGCTTGCATCTGAAAATCCTGTCTCAAAGGCTTCTGGAATCTGATGAGTATTTCCTTCCGGTTAATATGAATTGTTTTGTTATTTTACTGAAGTTAAAGGTAAGAGAAACTTAATGATGCTCTTTCCCTTAAGAGAAGACTTAACGATGCTCCTTCCCCTGTGTCACCTGGTGTATTTCCTAAGGGCCCTTGTGTACTTTGGCAGTGTGCTTTGTGATATTGGTGAAAATCATTCTTTGCTTCGGTCTATTTTTGGCAAAGTAGTAAGCCTAAGCCAGCTAAGAGGCACAACAATGTGTTGCTCAGTTGAAGTGCATCACATCTTTTCTGTGTTACAAATACGCATTTTTAGTCACACACATGCAATCACAGATATTTGAAGGGTTTTTTTTGATTAAGTAGTACCACAAGGACTCTTTTTTTTTTTAATTTTTGAATAACAAATTAAGGTCATTAGCGCCTTGACCATGGTATGTTCTTGCTGATGCTGTTTCCATCGGTCTGGTGGAAGAAGTTCTCAGCTCTTTTGGAAATCCTTGTCCTAGGGTAGATGGTGCCTGCCGTGAATAAGTTGAGACTCATATATGATTTAAATGGAATCTGTCTTGCAGTGTAGATGGGAAGGTAGTGTTCCAGTTCTGTCCTTAGATCCCATGCCTTGAGCTCATGCTAATTTTAGAGATGTTACGAAGTATTTTCACAGTGTGATTTCAGTCAGCTTCTCTGCTCCACAGAACTTCCTCAGGCATCAGTAGTGGTCTGGATCACTTTCATATTGCCTTATTTACTGAGCACTTTTGAAAGCATCAGACAGCTGTACCAAAAGCCAAGTTACAAATTCCTGGAGCTACATTTCTGGGTGGCAGTCGGATTTCCCTTCTGCTGGAGTATTTTGTGGTAGCACACTGGGTCTGCCTTCTGCAAAACAGCCATCAACTGGAGCTGTCTAAATTCTCCACCTAAACACTCCCTCATGTGTTGAGCAGTGCTTTTCTGGGGAGGCCCAGTGTTGTCCAAAAATGATGGCCCTATCTCCCTGTTGGTGTTTTCTACACAAGATGTCCTCTTCCAAATGGTGTTCTGCCATCAGTCATTCATAGGAATCCTGGTCTGATGGGATAGATTTGAGAGCAAAATGCATCTCACCGCTTTGGAGAACTTTTCCTCCTTCCTTTCCCATCAGTCAGGTGTGAACCTGCCTGGAAGTCTGACTTGCTGCTGTAAATCTTGAGCCAGGTTGCAGTAACCCTTGAGTTCAGATAGGTTACCGTGTTAACGAACAGGTTAACGTTGGCTTCTATTAGCACAGGTTTGTGCATTGCTAAAACTAACCCCTGCGTGCATTTGCTGTCTGCCCTGCATTTCTCTCCCTTCCCCACTCGGGACAGGGTGCGAGCAGCAGTCTCTGGTTTGCAGCTGGTGTCAGGGTGGTGAGGCTGGCTCGTGCTCGTCGGGGAACGGCCGCGGCTGAGCTGTGATCGCTCCTGAAGTATTTGAGACTCTGCCTCAGCTTAGACACCGTGCGGGTGAGTGCGAGGAGCTGGTGTCCTATTCTTGGCATCCTGCCACTGTTTTCTCTCCCGACGAGGTCATTTTTTCTACCTCTTGTCATATTGCTCCCCTGTTTGAATCCCTCCCTCCTTCTCCAGCAGCTTTCTTCTCTCCTTCTCCGTTGCTTCAGCAAATCAAATTTTTGGTAGGAACACGAGCCACTGCTCTGTCCAGTTCAGGCCATTTCAGCTCTGCCTAGTTTTTGTCTGTGTTTCTTTCCTAGAATAAATAGCGAGGGTTAGGCAGCAAGTGTTTGCAGAGCTGCTTTCTCCTCCTTGTGCCTCAGGGCAGGGTAAAGGGAAGGCTGAGGGTATGGAGCCAGCTCTGATGCCTAAGGGGACCTGTTTTGTGAGGTTTGGTACATGCTGCAGGAGCGAGGCCATTCCTACCCTCAGCCAGGATTTCCCCCTCCACATACACACTGTGGTGCTGGCAGGAGTTTGGCAGAACCACCAGCTTTCTTGTTCCTGTCCTGCTGGAAAACCTGGGTCGGGGGACAGCAGTATGTGGAAAACGCCTGTTGCTTAATGGTGGTGTTAACCCTTTGGTCTTGGGGGTTAGAGTAACCTGATGAAACATGCTGTACCTTTTGCTTGGCAAAGCGACACCCATTTGCCTCATGTCTTGCTAGATCGGGGCAGGCAATCAGGCATGTTTTATAACACCATTATTCTGTTGCCTGAAGTATGATGTTTAGACATCTGTATTCATGCAAGCGGGTCAGTAGTCCTGATGCACATGCTACCAGTTATAATTGAGGCTAGGAATGGTCACCCACAGGTAATAAAGATAGCACCACAAATAGCGATAAAGATCTAAAAACTCCTTCCACCCCCAACTCCCCAACTCTGGGCCAATGCTCGGTATCTCTACTACAAATCCTCTTATGGTGAGTGAGAATTTCCGCTGCTTCTGCACTCCAGGCAGGATTCACCAGATGTTAATAATGTGCTTATTTTCTCTAAGTGCTATTTTGGCATCGGTGTTAATTACAATTTATATTCTGCAACATTTACACTGGGAAAAGAACCCACCCTAATAGTCCCCAATTGGCAGAGCTGGGCTATTAAACATAGCACCATATGTTCTGAGCAGAGCAATATATGGGACTCGGAGCCCACTCAGTGCTGAGACTCTGCTGTGCAGCGTTAGAGGAGGAGAGAACAGAGATGGGTGTTTTGTTCCTAGCTTTTATTTAATATGAAATTCCCCCTCCTTTTCTCTGGTGTCTGTCCCCATCTCTCCTGAAACCACCCTCCCACTATCTGTGAGCATCTAATAAGGTGATCTCTGAACCTGCTGATGCCACTGCCCATAGTCTAAAATAAATGAATTCAATTACAGACGGTGCCCTTCTCGCAGGGAGTGCCTCTGCAGGATTCCTAGTCCCTGCTGCCGTGTTTCTTGCTGTGCTCCAAATCAGACCTCCAATCTTTGGGGGACTGCAGAAGAAATCTCTGCTTTGACTACCAACGAGGTGTCGGCGCTTCTTTGAGAGAAGCGTATTCTGGGACAAGTGCCATTAGTGTATAAAATCACAAGTTGTCTGCTGCTCTGCTAATGCCCGAAGACTTGTTTAGTAAAGTGGCATTTGGTTCTTGCAGGCTGGGAGGGTCTAGACCTGAAGAGTGACAGTGGTTTTGGTGTGGGGGAATTTGGTAGGGCTAAGTCATCAGTGTTTTGGTAGGTTTATTAGAAGGACTGTAGGTTAAAGGATTGCTTCCTCAGTCGTTTTGCAAAGCTGATTTCATGGTCTCTTTAGGAAATGGCAGTGTATCCACTGCTCTGGTTTGGAAAGGGGGCTGTGTGACAAAGCCTCGCCTCTCCTTTCGGGGGAACTTGGGCTGTAGTCGCTCATCAGCTGGGGAGGTGGTTTGTCAGGAGGAGAAGAGATGGGAATGAAAGGAGGCAGGGCAGGACTGTGTCATGGACCTCGAACTGGAAGCAAGACAGGATCTTTGAGATGTGGCCTCAGTTTCCCCACTTGTGAAAGGGGAGGAGGGCTCACCTGCCTGGCGAAAGGGAGCTTGCAGGGGTGCAGAACGCCCTCCCCTCCAGGCGAGGTGGTGCTCCCTGGGGAGGAGAGGGCAGGGCTGGGGCTGCTAATGCAGGCTGACAGGTAGCAGCAGAGCAGCGACCCTGCTCACTTTGATTTGCATGACTACCTCCTCCTCTGCAGAGGCATGTGAGACACCCAGGGGAACAGAGCAGGATCCGTCCCTTCACCTTGCTGATCTTCAGAGACATGAAAGTCCTGGGGCAACGTACAGGAACGGGACTGTGCATCGTGATGTGCTGGGTGCTTTCTCCCAAGCAGCCCTTTATTAAGATGGGATATCCCCCCATGGACGCAGAAATGTGGGGCTTTTCTGTTTGTGGAGTTAATCGGTGCAGAAGGGCTGTTTTGTCTGCTTAAGGCAGATGCAATCCCCTTTTGGCCGGTCCCAGCAGAGTGTCCAGAGAAAGCTCCTCTTCCCTGTCTGCAGGGAGACCTGTGCCGGGAGCCAGGCGAGCCGTGCGGGGTGTTGCAGAGGCAAATCTCCTTCCATTGCAGCTCTCCTGCCTCTTTGATTAGATGCGCAGGCAGCCGGGGTACTCTAGCAGGAGAATCATTTCCATAGAAACCAATTGGGATGTTGTACAGGGAATAATGATTAATAGTGAAGAGATGTTGCCTCAGGCCCTTTTCATTTTTTAGGGGGCAGTGAGGGACAAACTGGAGCACAGGTGGGGGGACAAGGAAGCTCAAAAACTAATGGAAACCATCCCTGCCATTAATTTCTAGGGCAGCTTCCCCTCTTCTCCTCCTACCCTGCCCCCCACTGCTGCTTCCCAGCTTTCGTCAAATTTTCAAAATGGCTAACCTGGTTAGAAATAATCATAATAATAAAAAAGGATGGATGAGGTCTGACTACTAACATTGTTGCTGTTAGCAGCAGGATTTCAGCCATAAAACATGAAGCAAGGGAGGCATTGACCTTTCCGCTGTTTAAAATGAATGGAGACATCAATATCTATTGTTTTGTGGCATTGACCTCTGACGCTCTCGTTTTGCCCTCCCTTTTCTTTTTTTTTAATTTCTCCCTGACACTTGAGGAAAGGGGTCAGTTTGTACCATCTATTGATCCCGATCTTACTTGGTGATAGGGAAATAATTAGAATTTTAAAGATCTCTGCTGCATGCTGGTGAAATACATACAGATGCGCAGGCTAAGCCCCTGCTTCCTGCGTTGCGTTCTTCCCCTTCCTTGCAGAGATTCAAAGCTCAGAGATCTGAAGGAAGGCAGATCAATATAGGTTTAATCATGATGGGGTTTTTATTTCAGTTTTTTAAATGGTAAAGTGTAACGTTTTATGTTAATGTTGTCGGAGTCTGGCTGCCTGGTGCCTTGTTTTATTTATTGTTTTAAGTAGCCCCTTCTTTTGTGAACTTCATCTATGTACAGAGAATGTGAAATCAGGCATTGCTAATTAGCTGTATGACAATTAAGTAATGTAGCACAAAACCATTAGGACACTGGATTTGTTTTTGAAGTTTGTCCTTTGAAGTGGAAGCTTCAACTCCCTGCCCAAGGCTGCTGGGGAAAATGTTTTTCTATCAAAACTTTCTTTGAAAATAAAATGTCAGTGTAAGAGTCCCTATTTCTGTCATCTCTCCCTATAAACAGCGGGTGGAAATTGTTTCTCATTGTAAAAACTGCTGGCATTGATAGAAAGGGGAATTCAGAAAAGCATGAAATGGGCAGTTGGTCTCCAAACACCCTGGGTTTCTGGTAGAGATGTTACCAAAACTGCTTGTTTAGCTTGTTGAAAGAGAATGGTGCTGCTTTAGGAGAGAAGACCCGGGTCACAACCAACGCCCTGGAGATGGCAAAAGGAGGTGGCCCTCAAAACTGGGGGTTCGCCTCTGACGCCTCAAGTGCCATCAGGACGCGGCGCAGCTTGGTTGCAAATACCGACAAGCTCCTCGGTTCGGGCTCCTCCATCTGTGCACTCGTTTGACACTTGTGTTTGCATCTGGCCCTTTGTTCTAGTAGTGAGTCGAATTCTGAATGTGCAACTTTCATGTACGCTGGTGGCATGTAAAACTTCAAATAAAGAGTGAAACTGATTTTGAACCACGTCTCTCTCATTGCCTCCTGCCTCTTATTTCCCTGTAAAACCAAAGCCATCCTCCTAGGAGGCACGCTTTGGTGTGTCACATTTGAAGTGTAAGCAGTGTGAGGTGAGTTGCTGGTGAGGTGTGTGTGAGTGGGGGTGTGCCTGGGTGTAGCCCCAGTCTGGACTGGGAGCGCTGGGTTGAGTGGTACTAATGGTGATCCCAGCCCTGTTCCCCCAGGTCTGCGATTTGCGGCGCCTTGGCTGTGGGCTCAGCTGCACGTTAAAGAAGGAGCTACTTTGTGTTTAGGAAATGCTTTTCCTCCATGGATCCTTGAGCACCCAACTGCTAGGCCACGTTGCTGTGGGACAAAACAACCATTAACCCTGGGTAAGTGAACCAAAATGACTTGCGGGAGGTCCACCGGTATGGTGGAAGCGGGCAGCACAGGTTGCTCGTGACGAAGAAAACTCTGCAGGCATTCACCTGCCCTGGCAGCAGCAGCTCTACCCTTGCAGTCAAGGCAGATGCCTGGTCCCTGGACCCTGGGGGCCTGCAGTGGTGGCTGAAAGCATATTGCCACCAAATATTGAAGGGGGGGTGGAGGGGAGTGGGGTGGATACGCTGGACCACAGCCCTGTGCACAATCCAGCTGGAGCAGCGCTAGCCACCGAGCTTGCCTGTGTGGAAAGGGTGGTTGATGCTAAAGAAAATATGCATCCTACTGAACTGTCTCTTGTGTTGCACTTTCTAGGGCACAGGATAGTGATACACGGGGAAATCAGGCTTCGGTATTTGCAGCACCTACTTTGAATTTAAAAAAAAAAAAATCTACAAAACAAACACATAGGGACAGCGTGGTGGAAAACAGTGCAGCTCGTGTACCCGTGTGTTTGAATCCACTCACCCTGGGGAGGTGAAGCAGTAGGAGATCACTCAAAATTGGCGTCTAATCAGTTCTTAAAAGGTGAGTGTGTCCATGCAGGACTTGTGGTGGGACTGCAGGAGAGCATGTGTCTCTCCCCACAGCGATCCAAAGTCCTGCACCAGGTTTTATTTCAGAGAGGATCACAGGCTCTCCTCTGTTGTTTTTCTGTTCTGGAAGATCTGCTCACCAGGGCACGGAGCAGAGACCCTCCCTCCATCTCTCCTGCGCTTGTGTTTAAGTTATGGATTTTATTGTTCCAATAACTTTTATCTAAATGTGTTTTTGGGGGAGGGAGGAAAGAGATAAGGAGGGAGGAGGCTGAGGAAGGAATGTGCTTTTGGACTCTGCTAAGCCTCCAACTTATCGCTGGGACTTGCTGTGGGGTTTCAGCATTAACGATCCCAGAGGAGGACTTAAGGGGGAAACGGCTGAAAGGGCTGTGGTCGATACGATATGTTGGTGGGAGGAAACCTGGGGAAGGCCCACGCAGAGCCAACCCTCTTCCCATTCGGTACTGATCCTTGTGCCCTCTGCCAGCTTATCTGTTGGCAAAGAGGGACATGACTTAGTTTCCAGGAAGGGGAACTGGAGCGGAGGTGTGAAAAGGCTGAGGGTGAAGAGCTCAGTTTGGTGGGGGAGAGATGTCCTGCAACCACTTGGATGTCTCTGTGTGTTTCTGGTTTTGCCCTCACCTATACAGCCATTATTTGGTCAAATGGAGTATTGATCTGTGCAAGGCAGGGTCAGGGGGAGTTTAAAGAGAAGAAAAAATAAAATTGGGAAGGCTACTAAGCTCACCCTGTGGGTTTTCTCTCTCCTTTCCTACCTGTCCCTGATGGGAGTGGGTGACTGCAGGGCTGGAGCCCTGCACATCCAGAGATGCTCAATAGCCCCCGGGCTGTCAGTGACCTTTGGGCTCACGGTAGGGTGTGGATGGGCAGAAGACAGTTCCCAGAATCTTGTCCTCCAGACCCAGCTGTGTGAAGAGGGTAGGGTGGGACCTGCTTGTGGAGAGCAAGGCTGCACCGGCCTTGGCTTGCTGTGTGAAGGGGAAAGGAGACTTTGTATGTGCAGGTCTGGGTCGTTAATGATTTCCCTTGCCTGATCAAGCGGGGCAGTGGCTGTCCCCTGCTCCTTTCTCCACCTCTCTGCCTCTTGTTTTCTGCCTAACTGGCTTTTTGCTGCCTGGTTTAACTGGGCTTGCTGGGCAGCAGCGGGTTACCACTGGCACTGCAGCTCTGCTGCCTGCGTGTGTCAGGCAGAGAAGGGTCAGCGTGGGGGGGCTGATGCACTTAGGGTGGGAAGAAGTCCTGGAGATTCAGCGAGGAGGCAGGGGCAAAGCATCTTTAACAGTACCTCTAGCCATGGAAGGAAGCTGACTGGTGGCTGTAGTTGAGGGTTTTGGGAGGAAATTTAAGTGGACTAGATGATCCAGTTCTCTCCTGCCTGGAGATCTGGTCCTCTTCTCACTTTGCAGAGTCTCTTGCTACTGGATACCTGAGCGCTGCAGGTCAAAATGGGAAATGTGGACGAGCACTAACGCTGCTCCCCAGGCAGGTCTACTTGATCTATTTTTTATAGCTCTTATCTCCCACCTGCTGCTCTTCAGCATTCGATGCATCTTGGGTGAGAGGACCTCAGAGGGGACAGGTCTGCAGGGTGCTGGCTAAAACACCTCCCGAACCTTCGCTCCCAGCCTACAGCAGCGAACACTTGTTCTTCCATCTGCTGGTCCCTTGTCTGGGTGGTCTCCCGGGATGGCAGGAGGAGAAGTCCTCAGGGCCTGTGCCCTGAGTGCAACTTCTCACCCCCTGGATCCATTTGGGATCAGCTTGTGCATCGCCAGCTCCAAGGCGGAGGCAGAGGAAAGAAACAAAATTGCTTCATCCCCCAGAGGCTTCATCTGTGGCAGCAGGATGCAGCTGGCAATTTCCAAGGTGCTAATTTTGTGCTTGCTACTTCCCAGGCCCCAGAGATAGCCTGTGCTCAGGGCTGAGAGGCGAGGCAGAGGTGGAGGACGCATGCACAAGTGAGGACCTGCATGTGAGCGAGGTTCTGACCACGAGAATAGATGGAAAGTCTTGGAAGGGACCAGAAGAAGAGGAGAAATGGTGTTGTCAGGGCATGGACAAGCCATAGCTCTGGTTCAGTCCCCGTGATCCAGCCCTGTTTGTGCTGTCCCTGTGGGACACGTGGTGATTCTCGTGGTGGTGTGGACTGTCCCATCAAGCAAAGATTTGGAGTGGGGTGGTCCTGTAGGTGCCACCCTTCGGGGCTGGGGCCTGTGGTGGCTTTCTTGCTGGCAGACTCCAGTGTCCTGTTTCCATTTCGTTGTGCTTGAATTTGCTTTCTGGTGTGCTGGTGAAAGCTTGCATGGAGAGGGAGAGCCACAGAGAGTGGAGAAGAGGAGGAAAACGATGAACTTTCTCCCTCCTATGAAGCACAAACGGATGGAGAAGTATTTCTGAACAAATAAGTCTCTCATCCCTGTCTCGTGGAAACTGCATTATCAGAGTACCATTGCTGTCCTCTCTTCTTCTTCCCCCCAATGAACAGGAATTAAAAATACAACTAATAAAACCCTTTTACTTTCTCCAGGAGGAGAAAAAAAAAAAAAAGCCTTGAAAATGCTAAAGGACATAAAGGGCATTCATGAAAGGGTTGGATGGTGGTTATTGCAGCAGGGGGAAAAACAACATTATTTCACTGTGCAGATAAAAGGAAGTGGAAAAGCAGCATATTTATAGCTAGGGAGCCTGGATTCCTTGTTAAGCCGCTATTATCAAATTAATGTCAAAATGCATCAAACAGGCATGAGTGTTCTGGGCCCCTTATGCAAAGTGCTTGCAAATTGGTTACAAATACATTTGTTTACAGGGTACGAGGCAGGAGCGAGCTAATTAGTCATTGTAGCAGGGTTGTTTTGTGTCTTTTTTTTTTTTTTTTTTTTTTTAATTTTTTTGGCAATTACACAAACAAGCTGTTCTGAAGGATGAATATGTGCTGCACTCCAGCCCCTTTAAAAGGGAATCAAATAGAAATCACGGGATGCGGAGGGCTTGACGTGAGCATTGTGGAGCATCGTTGCCTCCCTCCTCCCCAGCCCCGTGCTGATGCAGCGGCTCTCGCTGGGAGCTCGGCTCCGGGAAGCGGCGTGAAAACCCACCCAGGAGCCTCGGGAGGACCCTACGTGGGTGGAAAGGGAACGGCTGGTGTTTTCAGGCCCTCTGGGTGGGCCGATAGCTGCCTCTGGTATGGGGCACGGTGCTGGGATGGGGATGGCTGCAGCTGCTCCAGCTAGCTGAGTGCTTTGGATGCCACAAGGTAGCAGCCATGTCCCGTGCTGGAGACTGGCCCTTTTGATACCTCTTAAGGTTTTGAAACCGGTTAAGGTTTCGGCTCCCCACTGGTATTGTGGGAATCCACTCTGGTCCTGGGATATTTTGGGGCGCTTTGGCTATCAGCAGCAGCAGCTGCCAACTCAGGTTATGAAGCAGCTTGTACCCACACAATTTCGGGGGGTGCTTGAACTGAGAGAGCATCCCAGGGATGTGCTTTGCATGAAGAAAGGAGCCTGGAGTGAGCACCCCCAGGTGAACGTGTCTTTGGGGCTTCTTTAGCAAAACCATGGGTTGTGCCTTCCAAACCTGTTAATGAAGAAGGGAAACAGGAAAGCTTATCTGATCCTCAGTGGTGGGAATGACTGGGGAGCGGAATTTGGTTGGGGGGCAGATGGAAACTTCCCACTGCCCTACACCTTAATGCGCCCCCGTTCTGGGAGTAAATCACACCTCTGCCACTCAGGGAAGCTGCTAATTGAATCTGCTCTGGTGGGGGAGGATAAAGCCAAGGGGAGTTTACTACCATTATTATTATTCTTAATTTATTAGGAAAAAGAAAGGAGAGAGGAAGAAACAAGTTGTTGCCCCTGTCGTGCTGGAGGCCCCGGCGTTTCTTGGCAGAAGGTGTGCAAACAGCCCTGCGGCTGCTTCTCCATTTGGATTAGTTTCTGGTAAATCTGCCCTTCAGGCTGAAATAACCCTCCTGAGCAGGTCCTGCGCTACCAGAGGTGCTGGGAACATTGAGTTTAATGCTGTC